TTTCCCTTCCCACTGCTGACTAATCCACCGTTCACACCTCGCAAATTTGCTACCCCTGTATCCCCCCCTTGCGCGGTCTTTTTTACCATTCCACTGATCCCTTCCCACATCTGCTTGACGTTTCCAGAGGGCTAGGTGGGCGGCGGTGAATGAATGAATACCTCTCAATACCTCACGTGGTCACTTAAGCTGCACACAAATGATACATGACGCAGCTCAGATATGTCCACGGAAGCATCAGGCACACAGGCATCACACAGGTGGCCAGTGGGCACGGTTACGGGGGGTTAACGTGACATGTAACCCCTAGGCGTTGTGCAACCTTCTTAACCCGGTCGGGCGCACCTTTACCGACCTCCAAGGTTAGGCAGGGTTGGTTCCGAAACGCCGGTCCAAACCCAGTTAAGGGAAATTTGTATCCGTGCTTGGTTGCAGGCGGGGTTGTCCAAGCCCGAGAATGTCCATGCCTTGCCGCGAAAACTATGTACCAGCCGGTGTCCACAGAGTACACGACACACCGATTTATCGGACATTCGCGGCATATATATAAAAACAAAACTTCAAGAGTGCCGGCATTTGTAAGACCGATTTTTTTATAGTTAGTTGACGACCGTTGGACGCGAAAAAAAAAAAAAACACTACACCCCCCCCATCTCCGCACCACCAGTACTATTTTCAAAGGAACCTCCTCCTCGCCGCTGATCTGCAACTAACTGCCCACCGTTCACCCCGCGAGTAGCCCCTCACCCCTTCGTGAGTGCTCATTATATCTTGCAGCTGTCGCGTTTTTGGGGCTCTGTTATTACACCACAAAGAAATGCGGGTTCGTTCTTCTTCTTAACACCACGTCGGACCTGAGCACGCACGCACGTGTGTTGTTGTAATTATCAATTTGTCGACAATTTCTTTGATTTTGACTTTTTTCGAGGCCACATTTCTTAACTGCCAAGTTCTTAAGTGCGAGCGCCATCTTCATCGTCTGATGATCATGATGTAGTGCCGGAAGTAACATAGGCAGACATGGGCCAACTCTATTTGATATATATATTGTTGCGTGGAAACACGCTCGGCAAAGATTGGGGGGCAAAACAAAGACCGAGAAAATGAGTGATAGAGTAGGCGATGATATACTACCTACACACGCTGCCTCTCTCGTAAAAGTCAATACGACAACACGTACGTATGTCTGTCTCCTTAAAATATTTATATAACAATAATAGTGGTCGAATGTAGTATTGCTACATATTAAGATGATCTCTGCCGAAAACAATTGTTGCGTGCTCAGCAATATTGTTAAAAAATTCTATACTTCGTATACTATATATATGCTGTTGCCGCTGTGGAACATAAAAACTTAGTTGAACAAAAACTTGCCATTGAACGATTCGTAATGGAGGACTTCACTCGGAGATTTTGCTTTTTTTTTGCGTGGGGGGGACCGCATAGTATAAGTGTGCTCTTAGCGGCCGCGTGGTGTTGCCTCCATTGTTTCCGCCCCCACTATAAAAGCATAGAATTTGGTATAACAGTCATAGTCTAGGCTTCAACATGTAGCGTAGCGGTCAGCCGTTCGATTGTGCAGGCACATGTTGGTGGTTCGAATCACCGCATGTTGTGATTCCTTCACAGATCAATCCGACGTAGAACGATGCCAAGCGAGGTACTGCGTGACAATATCACAAATACGGGTTGAATGTTGTTGTTGTTGTTGTCTTCACATTAAAAACCATCCCGGTCTCTCTATCCAGTACCTCCTTCTGTCTCAATCTCTCCGTACTAATCCAGTACTTGACTCGGTCAATTTCCGTGGTCACAGGCTAACGTACCTAGAAAAGGTATACCAAAATAAAATG